GGGAGGAAGTGGGAAGGGAGCTGTTGCATTGTGGTAAACTGTGGTCAATGTCATGAGACAAAGTATATGTGAACTGCTGTATGAAAAGTGAATTTGCTCTGTAAACCTTCACCCAAATCACAATTAAAAATAAAAAAACACTAATATCTTAGATTCAGGGTAATTGTTCTGTCATTGTATGCCACAGATTTAATCTACTGATTGCACTCCAGTGTATTAGAAAGATCATAGTATATGGGAATACAAATCTGGATTTCTAACTATAGTACATTCCATCAGGCAGATCATCTAAACATAGTTTATTCTTATGTCAGGGGTAATACATTGTAGGATTCCCAAACCCACTGTCATCGAATGGATTCTAACTCATAGCGATACATTAGTACAAAGGTGAGTTGCCCCATAGGATTTCCAAGGCTGTGAATCTTTACAGGAGCGAACTGCCTCATCGTTCTTCCACAGAGCAACTGATAGATTTAAACTGCCCTTTTGGTTAGCAGCTGAATGCTTTAACCATTATGCCATCGGAGCTCCTGACTTTGCAGGATAGCGAGGATTAACTGAGAAAAATGTATGTGAAATTGCCTAAAAGTAAAGGGGTATTCAGTAAATCTTTAATTTTGTTCCTTCCTCTGTGAATTTCTGGCTAGGACACCATTTCCTTTTAATTACTGACCATAACCCAACTATAGTCATTGTCTATGTATAAAGGGAAATTCATCTGATTTAATGAAAAGAAAGCAAAACAAAGTTAGAGAATAATGTAATGCCAGAGTCTCTCGAGTGATAGTTAAAATCCTGATTGAAATTTTTCTCTACTTCCCAGGATTATGATGTGCTAGTAATGACTTTTTCTTAACTGTGGTAGAGGAAAAAATACCCCAGACTTTAATTTTATCAAAAAGATTTTTGTTAAACCAAGACAAAGACAATCATTTGAATGAAAGATCTGTCAGTGAGGATCTGGCACAAGAGACTAGCAGAATCCACTTAATCACAGAGAGCAGCTAATATACTATTACAGAAGGAAATGAAGTTGAGAAGTCTGAGTGGTCATTCATGAGTACGTCATTGTCAAAGGCAGAATAGTAGAAGCAAAGAGGGGACTACGATTGGGTGCATATATAATTTAAGGTTAAAAAACATTACAGGATCGGTTCGGGGTTTTAATTATCTGGCTGCATGGCAGCTGAGGTCACTCATGATCATGCAACCCTGAGTCACAGTCACAAGGAGGTATGAAAGCAATTCCAGGTCCCCAGTCTTTAATTTAAATCAGGTAATATGTCTCATGGAGTATTTCCTCCTTTGTTTAACTTAGGTACTTATTAACCAGCAGAGAAAACCTATTGTGCCAGTTTTTCCATCATGTAATTAAGGGAATGAGGAACTGGACCTTATCCTATTTTTTTCTTACTATGGCCCAGCACCTATGAACCTTTTGTGGGTCTTCAGTCTCCATGTCCATACTGAGATGGTAATTACAACAGTGTGTTCACTTTGTAATAATTCATTGAACTATACATATATGATTTATGAACATATATTATTGTGTATATATATATATATTCCCAATAAAAAAAATTAATTTTTCTACAGAAATCATGTCCAAGTTCAAGCAACGTAGAAGAAAGCAAAAAGCCAAAGCCAAAAGATTATTCAAGAAAAAAGAAGTTTCTCGATTTCTGCCCAAGCTTATTACACCTCCCCCTCCCCCACTGTCACCAGCAAGGTAAGGCATAATGTAGGACAGAGAAAATACTAGAGACGTGTGATTGAGTTACCAGGTTTAGCAAATAAAAATACAGAATACCTAGTTAAAATGGAATTTCAGATAAATAGATTTCTTGTTTAGTTTAAGTATGTCCCATGAAATACTTGGAATACACTTAAGCTGAAAAATTATTCTTTGTAATTTAAAATTCAGATTTAACTGAGTGTCCTGTATTTTATGTGGCAACCCTACTTTAGGAATTTAAACGAAGTGAAAATCACAAAGAATTGTATTTGAGATGCACAGTAACTATTTTCTCTTTTCCTGGTCAGTTTAATTCTATAAATCTGCAAAAACAGCAAGGAGGCCACATGTTCTGACCTCCTCTAATCCCACAAAAGGAAGACAGGATTACCAGCAGTAACCCAAGGCCTATTCCTACATGGCCAGACATGCTGCCTCCCTTCAGCCCTTTCTCCAACCGTTCCTCCCAAAGCACCCACCACCTCTCTCCTGGGTTCGATAATTCACTGCAGTGGCCACACAGAACTCACAGATTATGAAGTTTATTAGGGAAGCACCACAGGCTACAATTCTAGTTAAGGAAGAATGCTCAGTCTCTCTCCCAGCCCACCGTCCCTCAGCCAACAGTCTCTCACAGTCTCTTTCCCAGCAGTGCTGGTCTCTCGATGTCTCACTCAACAATGCAGTCTCTTGCGTCTCTTTCCCAGCAATGCGTGTCTTTTTCAGGGGCGCGTGTCTCTTTCGGCAGCACGTCTTCCTCAACCAGCAGTCAGAGAGAGTTCTGCCTCTAGTAGGCCTCCTTTTGAGCCCGGCAGGGTGGTCAAATTAGCCAATCATAGCATTAGAGCTCTAAGCACCTGAGAGAGAGTGGGCACCTCCCAGAACATTGTTTTGTGCCACTCCCAACAGAAATACTCCAGGTGGACACCTTCAGCAATCAGGAGCTCCTCAGTTGCTCATAGAAAATCCCACCTTGGAGTTTACAAAGACTTATGGGTAGAAAAGCCACACTAAGTAATTTACTACACCGCAAAATCTGATAACTAAGTGATGAAGGAATGAGTCTACGACTGGAATTTAAATCTTAGTTGTGCTATTGCTTTGGTTTCATCAGTTAATCTTTGGGACTCCCAGCTTAAATAAATTATGGAAAGAGACTTTAATTCTAGGAACCCTTGGGTGTTGGCTTTTACAATCAAATAAACCATTGCTGTCAAGTCAATTCCAACTCATAGTGACCCTATAACCTATACTTTAAATACATCTTTGTAATTACAGCTTTCTATATTAAAAAACTTAAAGAACTTGTTTTCTAAAAACAGCAACAAAGATGCCATCCTTTTCTGTATCTGTCCTAGATTATTATCAAAACCTCGTAACTGGTCTTCTTGCTTCTACTACCCTCCACCTCTCTGCAGTGAGTTCACAATGCAGCAGCCAGAATGAGCATCTTAAAAATCATGTCATACAGGCATATGAGCTGAACATTTACATTAAGTAGATACACTCCTTGGTAAGATCAATCATGGGAGAATAGAAGGGCTGTGTATGCACAGGGAGACAGCTCAAGAGGCAGGAGTGCATGGGAGAGAAGGACACAGGGAAGAAGTAACTATGGGGAGGAAGTGGGAGGGGAGTTGTTGCATTGTGGGAAATTAAGGTCAATGTCATGAGACAGTGTATATGAGCAGCTATATGGAAGGTGAGCTTGCTCTGTAAACTTTCACCCAAATCACAATAAAAATTTTTTAAAAATAATATTTATAAAAATCATGTCACATCACTCCTCTACTTCAAATACTTCAGTGACTTCCTATGTCACTTAGACTAAAAATTAAAGGCCCTAGGATGATCCATAAGACCTTTCCTGATCATACTCTGACCTCATCTCTTAATCCCCTCCCCCTCAGTCTCTCTATCCTATTACCCTGGCTTCCCTCCTATTCCTCAAACACCCAGGCTGTCTTCCACCTCAGAACCTTTGACTTGCTATTGCCTCTACCTGAAATGCTTTCCCTGCAGTTACTTACATTGCTAGCTTCCTTACGTCTTTAGTTTTTTTTTCCTCAAAAGTCACCTTCTCTGTGAAACTTTCCCCTGGCTGCCCTATCTAAAATGTCAGACCCACCCACCATTTCACAGTCCTCTTTCCTTGTTTTCTCTTTTTCTCCTCGGTGTTTATTTACTAACATACCATATATGTTGTTCATTTATCTATCTTTGTTCCCCCATGTAAATACCATGAGGGCAGAATTTTTGCCTGTTTTATTCAGTGAATCTGTGGTGCCTTGAACATGGTAGGCACTCAGTATTTGTTGAATGAATGAATCCCTGAATTCTAGAATTCAGTGAAAAATTTAACATTAGTAAAGCTCTGCTCCATAATACTATAAAAGAAGCCTCTTGTTTAATTTTGAAGCTATTGTACTAATTCAGAGGTTTTTGAAATGTTTTATTTTATTTTTCATACAGAGTGGTTATTCCTCCAGCAGTTACAACTGATAGCAGACACTGCCTCAGTTCCACCTGTAACTTCGATTTTCCCAATGTTATAGATGCAGTAAAACATTGGACAAATAGATTGTGGTCTGTATATAGTTGGTGCCAGAACTACGTAGCCCAGGTATGGATTTGACACATCTCTTTTAAGAAATATGGTTTTTCTACAACCATACTTGTATATGTGTGTTAACATGTGCGCATGCTCAGATCAGCAAAGCACTCAGACTAAGCACAAATAAAGTTAACAATATAAAGTCATGTCTGCTTTCAGTCCTGTAAAATATACATCAACATCAAACCACATTATTATCTCTCTCTCTTTTTTTTTTTTTTTTTTTGTCCTTATCATGTTGTTCATAGAATTCAGGCTTGTTTATTATTGAATTTCAGACTTTGGAAATATTGAAAGACATCATTTTTCCATCCCGTATCTGCCGCCAAGAACTTCACAGTTTAAAACAACGGTTTTGCGTTTTGGAAAGTGAATTCTGTGAACTCCAGGAAGCACTGAAGGTCAGTTTTGTCAAATAAAAAACAAATTTGGACTTAGGTAAGGAGAGACTTTATTTGGAAAGACTTTTGTAATTGGGAAAGGGGAACTATTGCAGTAAGGAAAAGTGATCTCAAAAGCCAGACAGGAAAGACTTTTATGTTGTTGTTGTTATAGTTAGCTGCCTACTCATGGTGAGCCCATGCACAATAGAGTGAGAAACACTGCCCAGTCCCTTGCCATCCCCATGATGGCACCATTGTGATCCATAGGGTTTTCATCAGATGATGTTCAGAGGTACATCTCCAGGCTTCTTTTCCCAGCCTGTCTTGGTCTGGAAATTCCACTGAAATCAGGTCAGCATCATAGCAACATGCAGGCCTCCGCTGACAGACAGGTAGGCTGTACATGAGGTCACTGCCCTGGAATCAAACCTATGTGTAAACTCCAAGGATCTCGGTTAGGAGTAATGGAATGAGCACATTGCCTGATCAGATGGCTGATCAGGGAGTATTTTTCCCTGATGCCAAAGAATTGTTGAGAGGAGCCATTAAGGAGAGATTGTTACAGGTTCCAGTGCTTGCTTATAGGAACACATCTCTCAGGTAAACTTTAATATTGTCAAGTATCAAGGCAGAAGATCTGAAAATATATCTGGCTACTGCTTGTGAATTTTAGGCTCTGTCACTTCTACCATACTCAATCATTGATTTAGTTTTACAGTTTTTTTCTATAGTTCATTATTTGTTTTTTGTCATGCATAAATGTTTGATTTCTATGTCTTTATAATAACTAGAGACATAGAAATCAAACATTTATGCATGGTAAAAAACAAATAAAAAATAAACTATAAAAAAAATTGCACAAATATCACAGAAAAAGGATTAATTCATTCCTTGACTATGAACACAGTATTCACATGCACACACATAAAGAGGAAAACAAATGGATCTTAAATACAGGAATAGATACACTACTTCACTCAAAAGTAAATCAAAATTGGGTATGGTAGAAGTGACAGAGCACTGAAATATGATAGCATAAACAAAATTTAAGTTCATTTCTCTCACCTAAAGACTATGAAAGGAGGCAATCCAGAGCTGCTATAGGGACTCCATGGTCATCAGGCTCCTTCTATCTTGTTGTTCAACCTTGGCTGTTCCAAACATTGCCTCATGGTTCAAGATGGTTGCTTGTGCTCTGGCAATTGTCTTCATTTTAGGCAGCAAGAAGAAGGAAAAAGATCTCCTCCTCCTTTAAGGAGACTGCTTTACAATCAGAGACACAACTGCTTATATCTCATTTGGCTAAACTAGACTTAGGTAACTACAGCTAGCCACAAAGGAAGCTGAGGAATATAGTTTTTTATCTGAGTTACAATGTGTCCAGCTAAAAATCAGGTTACGTGTTGTGAAGGAAGAAGGCACAAATGTATGTTGGGGGTCAGTTAACAGTCTCTGCCACATTCACACACACACACTCACTTGTGCTTGCAAAGAATGCCCTCAGAAAAGACATTCATCTGTCAAGGATCCATGGGAAAACAAATGGACACACACACACATTAAAATAATTTGGAAAGAGTTTAATAAAGGAGCTTTTTGCGAAGATGTGGACAGGGTGTAGAAGAACATAATAATAATAAAGCTCTACAATCTAGGTCTGAAGGGGCTAGGGGAGGGAGAGGTTATCAGAACTTGGAGACCTCAGAAGACTCTCTGCCGGGAATTGAAACCTTCCCTTAAGAGATCCAGCCACCTGCACAGGATCCCTCTTCCCTCACTGAGCTCTTGCTGCAGGTTTTCAGGCCAGGGAGAAGAGGGCCATACTGTAAAGTCTCTCAGGTCCCAGGAAACATGGAAAACCAAAACCAAACCAAATTCGCTGCCATGGAGTCAGATCCAACTCATAGCAACCCCTCCTTGGGTTTCTGAGGCAGTGTCTCTACGGATGTAGGTTGCCCAGTCTTCCTTCCGAGGAGTAGCTGGCGGGTTTGAACCACCAGCCTTCTGATTAGCAGTCAAATGCCTTAGGCACTACGCCACCAGAACTCCTTGGAAAGGTGGAGGAGCAGATAAAAAATTATCCAGCCTCAATGCACCAGAAATTGGTAACTCTTTGCCTTTGTGGGAGAATGGTAGATAGGGGACAGGGGTGAGGAAGGACTTCTTCACTGTACACCCTTTTGCACCTTTGGAATTTTGTGCTCTGTGAATGTGCTACCTATTCAATAGCAAATATAAATAAAAATAATTTTTTAATATAAACTTATTTGACCAGATTAGAGTTTGGTTCTAAAAGTGAAGTATAAATGCATAGACAAAGTCATTGTTAATTTAAATTTCTATAATTTCATAACTTTGTCAGAGCAGTTTGCTGTTGGTAGCTAGGCAATGGCTCAAAGTAACTTCAAAAACAATTTTTTTTAATTGTGGTTTGGGTGAAAAAAAAATTTTTAAAGGGGTGTGTGTGTGTGTGTGTGTGTGTGTGTGTGTGATAAGTCTATATATCTTCCCTCCTTTCCCTCAGTTTCTCTCTCATCTCCAGGATACATATTCTTTACCTTTTCTGATTTTTCTCCCATTTCAGCTCTTTATTTCTTACCAGAAATCACCAGTCCAGACGTGTTAGGGAGTACTATAAAATGAAGGTTGACTCATGTCATTTGCTAAGAATGCCCCTAGAACCCTTTATCAGTCAAAATTCTTTTTAGCTGTAAGTGACAGAAACACAATGTAACCTGACTTAAGTCCCTATCACCAATTAGTCTAGGGTATAGCTGAGCCAGAAATTCAGTTACTAGAATCCTGCCTCTGTCCTCATAATTTATCTCTGCCTTCTTCTACGTAAATTTCCTTTTCAGACTGTCCCTTTGCAGTAGTAACATGCCTGTTAGTAGCCCCAGATTCTTATTCTCACACCAGAACAACGTGAATGGAGAGAACTTGCTTATATTATGTGCCCAGTCCATTTAAGGTGTCCCACCCTGATCGTGTAGACTAAGGAAAGGAGAGGTTTGTTCCCCATAGGAAACTCAGAGTGCTTTTACCAGAAGGAGGCATGTGCTTGTTCCTTGCTTATTTGCCCTCAGAGCCATTCCTTACCCTTCAGAGGCTCTATTCTATGTTATGGGAGGACTGCCCCTGCAGGCTGCATTTCCCAGGCTCTGTGTCACCTGGCTCCCAGTTGTTAGGTGCCATCAAGTCAGTTTCACCTTACACCAACCCTGTGCACAACAAAACGAAACACTGCCTAGTCCTGTGCCATCCTCAGAATCGTTGCTATGCTTGAGCCTGTTGTCACAGCCACTGTGTCATTCCATCTTGTTGAGGGTCTTCCCCTTTTGTTGATCCTCTACTTTACCTAGCATGATATCCTTCTCCAGGGACTTGTCCCTTCTGACAACATGACCAACGTATGAGAGATGAAGTCTGGCCATTCTCACTGCTAAGGAGCATTCTGTCTGTACTTCCTCCAGGACAGATTTGTCTTCTTCTAGTAATCCATGGTACATTCAGTATTCTTTGCCAACACCACAATGCAAATGCCTCAATTCTTCTTTGTTCTTTCTAAGTCATTGTCCAATTCTCACGTGCATGTGAGGGTACTGAAAATGCTACGGCTTTGTTCTGACTGATGATATGCAGCATCTCTATCATCTCTTAACACAGATTTAGTCTCTTTTCAAAGATGTAGTCAATTTGATACCTGTATATTTCATCTGTCAAGGTGCACATGTATAGTCATTGTTTATGTTACTCAGTGTGATTTGCATAATTTCTATCACCAAGGCTATATTTCCAACTACTGATACTTCTTAGTTTTCAACTTTTGCATTCCAATCATCAGTAATTATCAATGCATCTTAAGTGCATGTTTGGTCAATTTCAGACTGCAGACGTTGGTAAAAATCTTCAATTTCTTCATCTTTGACTTTAGTCTTTGGTGTGTAAATTTGAATAGTAGTTGTATTAACCAATCTTCCTTATAGGTATATGGATATTATCCTGTCATTGATAGCATTCTACTTCAGGATAGATCTTGAAATGTTCAATTTGACAACAAATGTAACGCCATTCCTCTTTAATTTGTCTTTCCCAGCATAGTAGATCATATGATTGTCTCATTCAAAATGGCCAATACCAGTCCATATCAGCCCACTAATGCCTAAGAGGGGAGCTCTGGTAGCATAGTGCCTAAGGCATTTGACTGCTAACCAGAAGGCTGGTGGTTCAAACGCATCAGCCACTCCTCAGAAGGAAGACTGGGCAGTCTACTTTCATAGAGATACTGACTTGGAAACCCAAGGAGGGGTCGCTATGAGTTGGAATCGACTCTACAGCAGTGACTTTGTTTTTTTTTTTTTTTTTGTAGAATGCCTAAGATATGAATCTTTATGCATTCCATTTCATTTTGACAACTTCCAATTTTCCTAGATTCATATTCCTTCCATTCCACATTCCAATTATTAATGGATATTTGCAGCTGTTTCTTCTCATTTTGAGTTGTGCCCCATCAGTAAATGAAGATCCCAAAAGCTTTACTCCATCCACATCATTAAGATCAATTCTACTTTGAGGGGGCAGTTCTTCCCTAATCGCATTTTGAGTGCCTTCTAACCTGAAGGGCTAATCTTCCAGCACTATATTAGATTATGTTTTCCTCTTATTCATAACATTTTTAGTGGCCAGTTTTTTTCAGAAATGGACCTGGCCAAGTCCTTCTTTGTAGTCTGTCTTAGTCTGGAAGCTCCATTGATACTTGTGCGTCACGGGTGATGCTGCTAGTATTTGAAATACTAGTGGCATAGCTGCCAGCATCATAGCAACATGCAAGCTACCACAGTGTGACAAACTGACTCATGAGTTGGCTTTCAGTTGGGTTAGATTAATGGGAGACACTGATGAGAGACTGGAGAGAGGGAGATGACAAAAGGGAAGGAAAACTTCCCCTTTCTACTCAGCTTTGGGTACTTTCTCCAGTAATGATTGTTGTCTCCTCTCTGGCTCCAGTTCCCACTAGAAAGGTTCTCCATGTTTCTTGATTCTCTGGGTAAACCTAGCCTCAGAGCTTTGGTTACATTGGCCTCTTCCTTTGTCCTTCTAACATTAGGGTATTAGTGGCTTACTGCTGTTGCTAATCTCTGGGCTGCCTGACTGCCCCCTGTAGACTTCTTAGCTCTTCATCACCAGTGTAACCAATTCCCAGTGTTACATTACAACCCCCAACCCACGTATACACATCCCTGCTTTAAATACTCAGGATGGTTTCTACTTTTCTGACTAATATAGGCAAGGAAAAAAAAAAAAAAACATAAATAACCACTCTTCCCAAACTTCCTAAGGCAAGGCCCTCCCTATTCTCAGTGTCTAAAACCCAGAGAATCAACATTATACTCTTTGGTTTGGAGAGAAGCTTCTGGAATTCCATCTCTGCTCTCAGAATTTGTACTTCAACCTGACCTAGCCAAAGAAGGAAAAAGCAAATAACACTTCTCTGGGCCTGCTTCATCATCTATAAGATGGAGATGATACCATCTTCATAGGGTTATCGTCCAGGCCCTTGGCCCGTTGGTCAGTTCCTTGAATGTACTGTGTTCTCGGCTATATTATTTTTCCTCTGCCAGGAACTTTCTTCCCCTAGTCCTCATCACCCTTCACCTGGTGAATCCCAATTCGTCCATGAGATCATGGCTAAAGAAATATCACTGCCCATGCCAGGTGTCATGGTGGTGCAATGGTTAAGCACTTGGCTATTAACTGAAAAGTCAGAAATTTGAACCCACTCTGGTAGCATAGTGCCTAAGGCATTTGACTGCTAACCAGAAGGCTGGCAGTTGAAACCCACCAGCCACTCCTCAAAAGGAAAATTGGGCAATCTACTTCTACAGAAATACCACCTCAGAAACCCAAGGACAGGTCGCTGTGAGTCCAATTGACTCTATGGCAGTGAGTAAAGTAGTAGCAGCTCTGCTGGAGAAAAGACCTGGTGATCTGCTCCCTTAAAGATTACAGCCTACAAAACCATAGAGTGCAGTTCTACTCTGTTCTATAGGGTCTCTATGAGTTGATGCAATGGCACACAACACACCAGGCCAGGGCCTGAGTTATGTGTGCTCACAACACACTTTTGCTCTTATTGCAGTCTCTTTTATCTTGGGTGTTTGTATGTATGTGTTTAATGTCTGTCTTCTCTCCCCAGACTGTAAGCTCTATGACGTGACAGGCCTCGCACTATACCCACAGTACCTGGCACATAGCACATACTTCACAACTGTTTGAATGAATATATGTGAGTGAATGGACTCGCGATAATGAAATGAGAAAATATTGTGAAGCACTCTGAGTAAGCATTCAATACATAACAGCAATTATTTTAGAGTCCTTGAGTGGTTCAAATGGTTAATGCACGCAACTGCTAACTGAAAGGTTGGAGGTATGAGTCCATTCTGAGAGATCTCAGAAGTAAGTCCTGATGATAAACTTCTGAAAAATAGCCATTGAAAACCCTATAGAGGACAGTTCTAATCTGAAACTATACATAGAGTTTCCATGAGTTAGAGTTGACTCCACAGCAATACTTTTTTTGGGGTTTACTGTTTTGATTACTCTCACCTGAAGAACCAATTTAGCTTGTTATTCATTTGCCAAATGTACTGTCTTCTTCCAGACATTCTCAGAAAATTCTTCTTGCCCAAGCTGTGGTCAAATGAGTGGTAAACTTATAAATGTTCCTGCCTGTGCGCTAACCACCCCTGGAGAATCCCGAGCTGCACTTCCTCCCACACTGCCCCAACCACCCAGCCATCTTCCTCCTCCTCCACCACCACCACCTCCACCGCCTCCACCACCTCCTCTACCTCTTCCTCCACCACTGATAACACCTTTGCTGCTCAGAAAAGGTGACCGCATTAAATCACTTCAGGTAGGAAATAATCTACTTATAGTGTGTCGGTTAGTGTGTGATACAGGAGTAAAGCCATATGGCCTTTTAAGGCTGGGCTAAGGATTTGACAGAAAGGCTACATAGTCTTCTGATTTTATATCTTGTATATATTGGTTATTGTGTTTTTAAAAACTCATTTCCCTAGAAACTCATAAAAGCCAGATTTAGACTTCCAGTAAGATGGAGGAGTAGGCAGACAAGCACCACAGACCCTCTTAAACAAAAACCAGTTGACAGAGATACAGAAGATAATCCTGGATCCCTGAGCTTTGAAAGAACTATGCAGAAGTGGATTAGGCACCAACTAGTGGAAAAACCTGAATGAAAACAGTGAGTACAGAGATAGCTGGAGCTGTGGCCTGTCAGCTACTCTGATGGGACCAACAGCCTGAATATTTCCAAATGGTGTTGGGACCTGAAAATTGACCTAAAGATGAACCCTGGTCACCAACGGTTGCAGGGACGACTTCACTGGTGACCTATGACTAGGAAGGGAAATGACAAGGAAGGAGACAACCTGAGCTGTTGACTGACCGCTGTCGAGAGAGCACAGCCATGGCAACCATTTTGGATATTTAAAGTGACCAAGGGCACAGCCATTTTGAATCTTTACAAATGGTAACCATTTTGGATTTTAAAGTGATAGCATTCTCATCCGGATTCCAGGGACCTAAGAATAGGCTCTGCTTGCCAAGGTCAGCAGGGACATACCAGAGGCTGACAACAGGAAAGGAGACAGGTGGTGAGTGTTTAAGTGCTATCAACTAGTGAATAGAGGAGCACAGTACCCTGCTTGCATAGATAACATACAAAGAAAACAAAAATTGTGGGCAAGTAACTCCAACATACAATCACCAATTAAATAGAAACACAAAAACATCAAAATGTCATATAGACCGTCAACCTGTAGTAAGCTGATCTTTGACAAAGGCCCAAAATCCATTAAATGGGAAAGAGAATGTTTGTTTAATAAATGGTGCTGGCAAAACTGGAGATCCACCAAAAGAGTCAAAAGAGAATCTACAGATTGGGAAAAAATATTTGGTAATAACATATCTGACAAGGGACTTATCTCTAGAATTTATAGAACACT